ACGTGAGCACTTATATAATTGCTAAGGAACTAAAGATAAGCCGGAATACCGTTTGGAACCATTTCCATAACCTTGGATTCAAAAAGAAGCTTGATGTTTGGGTGCCACACGAACTAACGCAAAAAACATGATGGACCAAATTTCCGTCTGCGGATCGCTGCTGAATCGCAATAATATCGACCCGTTTCTGAAGCGGATTATGACTGGCGATGAAAAATGGGTCACTTACAACAACATCGAACTCAAACGGTCGTGGTCAAAGCTCGGGGAAGCGGCCCAGACGGTTGCCAAGACCGGATGAACGGCCAGCAAGGTTTTGCTGTGTTTGTGGTGGGATTGGCAAGGAATAATCTACTATGAGCTGCTCCCCTATGTCCAAACGCTCAATTCGACCCTCTACTGGCAACAAATGCTTGAATCGCTTGAAGGTAGCACTCATCCAGAAGAGGTCACCTTTGATTAACAGAGGCCGGATTGTGTTCCATCAGGACAACGCCAGGTCACACACGTCTTTGAAGACGCGCCAGAAGCTCCAGGAGCTCGGATGGGAAGTCCTAATGCAGCCACCTTATAGTCCGGACGTGGCACCAAGTGATTTCCATCTTTTCCTGTCCATGGCGAGCGCGCTTAATGGTGAGAAGTTGACCTCAAGAGAGGCATGTGAGAATTGGCTCTCCGAGTTTTTTGCCAATACGGACGATTTTCGGATAAAAACGGTGCGTATTTGACTTATATCGGACAAATGTACACCAAGTTATCAAATTTTGAAAAATAATAAAAACGAACAAACATTTTACTTGACCTAATATATATAAAAAAATTCGGAGCTGGACGGGATATTTGGTTCCATACTCCGACAGATGGCATCATTCGTTGACTTAAGCAGAAACCTTGTTGGAAGGCACGCCCGTGCCTATACGGGACCCGCTTCCTTGCATTTATGTGCGTAAAATCCGAGCAATTCCAATTGTGCAAAATAAAAATATTGTATCCAAGTGAGAGAAGAAATAACTCTCAGAATGAGACATATGCAATCTCGATCAATGGGAATCCCTCATGTTGAAAACAATTTATAGTTAATCTTGAATTGATAATGGCTGAGCCGAAATAAAATTCAGTTTTATTAAGAGAATCTCCGGGGACCGACTCATGCGAGATAATCTTAGTTACGATTCGATTCACTTAAAATTTAACTTATCGTTTAGAATCTAAACTTTATATTAACATGCAGACACTGGTTCTTAGTAATCTTAAGCCATAAAGTTCAATTTGCTTGAAATTTTTTATTACCGTCCGTATGGGCGGCTTCTTATCTGAAACCACTTAGTTAAATTGAAGTAATTTTATGGTAATCGCCCATGTTCGCGTGTTGACAAACCATCTCTGTTGTTTGTTATTGCTTGCCTACTACCAAATTGGTTTATGCTCATAGAGTTCATTCAAATAATCCAGATTCAGATTGAACTATCTACATATATTTTATTATCCCTCTTGAAGTAATATAAAGGCTGGTAATTAAGACGAGGCGAATTTCGCTGGGGGTGTAAGAAATAATATATAATTTAATTAGCGCTTTGTAGCCGAGCTCCTCTCCAATTTGTGGTTTTGACTCTTGTTGTATTTCCCAAAAAATGGAGGGACTTACAGTTTATACTAAGCCGCTTCCGAACGGCTGGTAGTTTTTTTACGAGGAGCCTTTATTTCATGTCAGATATACACTCGGAGGGGTTGACATTCCCTGCCGAGGGGCGACCGCAATTAGAAAATTTAACTTAATTCGACTACCGCGGCCGTCAAAATGTTATACTTGTCCGATTTTTCTTTAATTTTTAGTACCAATGTATAATTGTATATTTGTATGTGTGTAGAATATGAAATTTCATGCTCTGCTCTGATGTACCGAGTTTGGCTGAAATTTCCGGAAAACTGAGAGACTAGTTTGCGATCGATATACATTTTTACGAGTCTATCTCTTCTCCTTCTGGTACTTACATAGGGAGTTGGTTGGTTAGTTGAAGTGGTTGCTGGGCATCAGCACACCTTGGCCCAAAGCGGACCCATTGTGATACCACTGAGGATCCTAATGACCCCTAACCGCTTATCAAACGAGTGAGTAGAGTTTGCTACCGCTAGCTCGCAAAGGTCGCTAACGGTTGCAGAGACTTCAATCTACTCCTCCCAAATGGCATTCCCATAGAAAATGCCTTAAGTTTTCAGAATCTCCTTCTTTTCTGCAACTTCTGCAAAGACCTATCGCTATAGATATCTCTTTTGTTTGCAGCTCGATGAGGTCATGTGATCTTCTGCCGTTCCATTATGGCCACAATTTCTTGGCCATATTACTGTAGTTAGAATTTTCCATCTTAAATTAGGATCCTTAGCAAATAACTCTGTTATATTAAGCTCACAAGTAGAAAACAGCATGTCCAGGCTCTTTTATGCTTATGGAAAAGGTTGTTAAACCATTTCATGTACATGAAAAGTATAAAAAGAAAAAGGAGGAAGAGCTTGAAAAGCTGGCAGACAGATGTAATGCTCAAAAATTCTATGGAAAGATACGGTGTCTTACAGAAAGTCTTGAGCCGCAGAGTACTCTTGAGGGAACGAGAAGGCGATATGATGTTCGATATTCAGAACCTTACTGAGTTAATGGTGGAAACGCTTCTCCTATTGGAAAATAATGGAACCAAGCTAATGATATGGAAGCTTTTGTAATAGCAAAAATTAACCGTAACTTTGCATTTGGGAAGTTTTGTGTAACTTTAGACTGTTCACATACATTTATAGTTAAGTATGTGATCATTTCTCACTGAACGAGCCTAGTAATGTGAAAATCTCTTGTGCAAGAATCATTGACCAATCCTTGAATCATGTCTTAAGCTGAAAATCGAGGTGCCATAACCATAGTGGGTTTGTTTTTTTTTGAGAGACATCTCTAGTTTAAGCTTGAAAGAGGAAAACCTTAAGTCCAAGAGATCGGAGGAAGTACGCCAATAAGCGAGAATCAATCTCTCAGCTTCTTCACGCAGCCAGTTTGTCAGACTCTAATGAAAAAAAGACAAACAGCATCGGATGAGAACTTCCAGCACGGAAAACGAAAAATACTTTTGCAACTGCAGCGGAGGACATAAATGAGTGCAAAATTGTTCTTAGGCGAGAAAGTAGAATTATTCGAGTATTTATCAGAAAATTAAAATATGTAGGAAATACTTATCCATCCTTCTTATAATAGCAATTGCATGCTTGGATAGGAAGAGAGTGGCAGAGCGAGCCATTCAGATTACCATTTATGCTACTCAGGCCTTATCAGTGTTGTTTCAGATCCGGCATATCCACCATTGACCAGATATATGATACATGAGCAATAAATCTTAGAAAATATGTCGATTCTAAAGCTATCTGTCCTCCAAAAATATAGTTTATATAAAAACTGAGTCTGAACGCTACCTGTAGATCTCTCAGACTAAGAAAGACTTACCTGGGTTCGTACAACATCCAAAATTATGGAAACTTAATATTTCTATTTACCGGATATCAGCCTCTTCGAGTCTTTTTTTAACATGTACAATAGTTAAAGTTCCTCATAAAAATCCATCGGCCGTTCGCAGGCGGTTTAGAAGAAACTGTAAGTTTCCCATTTGTTCAAAAGACATCAAGATGCATACCACAAGTTGGAGGAGGACATCGTCTAAAACTCGTTATGGAAATTATTGACTTAAATGATTCTGCGTTCTTCAGGCTGAACAAAGGAGCCTATTCACCGACGTCGTTGACTTTGGCAGCATTCTGTCGCTTACCCTGCATCTTCTAACGCAATCAGGGATTGCCTACCAACTGTCATTTTGACAGATAATTGATAGCCAGTTGTCATTTGTAAAATGGCATTACCCAAGCATGTATGCTCCATTAAAGTTATTAAACATTTAGAAACGCTAAAACAACTTGCTGAAGGAGATGAAAAAAGGGAATCGGAACAAAGTTCATTCATTTAACCGCTTAATCTTCTTATAGTCTTAAAATGTCAATTTATGTTGTCCCCGCGAGCTTTCGTGCAAATGAAATCTTAGCTGTCAAAGTGAAAATTTGACAGTTTATAGCATGCAATAGATGTCAAGCAATAAACTCTACGATTATTTTCAATTTCCGGTATCTACGGTTAATTGATTTTGTGGCATGTATGCCAGCACATCAGAGAATACCTGTGAAGACAGTGCCAGGAGAAACGTGTCAAACAAAGAGAACATTTGCACGGACAAGGTGAATTTATAGAAGGTAAGAAGTATTACACAAACAAAATACATGAGAATATACTTGCTATGGCCATATGTGAATTTGTTTTGGCTTTGACTTTATCAAAAACAATCTTCTTGCCATGAGGTCAGATGGTAAATAAAGAGTATTATATGAACATTATGCGACAAGAAACCTAAAGAGTTTTCAAAAAAAAACCAACTTCTCGTTAAGCCATCACTGTGAACCAATACACCTGATATAGCACCGGCCTCCTTTTTTACTCTCATTAAAATTCAAATTACTTCCAGGGATCCGTTCCCTTTCAGTTGATAAAAGAATTGTGGCGAGAACTGTAATTGTTTTATGATTGGATTATTTTTGTTGTTGTAACCGCAAAAATAATCCCCAAAGTAGTTTTTCGGGAGTGTTGCGGGAGTGACAGCTCGTGGCCGGAAAAAAATCCGGGTCGTTTCGATATAAGGACTCTACTCTCGCGGAAACTTATGGATTTTAGTCACCTCTTACGAGATGCCTTACCGTAGGGAAATTCTAAATCCCCACTCCGCACAGGCTGAGAACTGGTTTCAGTTTATTATTCTGTGAGATGTCTGTTTGAAGGTGATACAAACAAAATTTTAATGAATAATAAAAATGTTTGTGTTTTATGGACCACTTCGATGTAATTATTTTACTTGACTTCTGCCCTAGGGAAGTTTATTTAATCAATGAATTATACTAAAACGAATTGCAAAACACAAAAAAAAACATTTTGAAAATAAGTTTTATTTATTTATCTGTTCATCGTTGATAATTTTTCTCTCAATCTCTCTCTCTCTATTAGATACATTCATCCAATAGTTTTGTCGAATAATTAGTCATACATACATACACATTTGTTTCACGTTTGCTCCATATTTGAATTTCCAATTCAAAATTCCGCTTTCCAGAATTCCGGATAGGTAATCTCCTTTATTTCGCCTACATCTAGCATGTAAATTCCGCCATTCCTACCGGTCCTAAGAACTTTAACTATATTTTTAGCGCAGACCTCTCCAGTCTGGCGTTTTGCTGTATTTAATTTTTTACAATATTCTTGGTAAAAGTCAAACGTTACTTTCTTGTGATAATCTGCTGCTAAATTTGTTTCGGTAATGCCAGGACATACTGTAATAAAACTAACGCCGAATTGATCAAAAGCCTTTTGATCCTTAAATTTCAAATGAAATAGACAAATTAGTTAAAAGAAAATTGAAGCGAATGAAAAATGTGATACACACCGCCATGCATCGGCCGAAAGCCGTCACCCCATGTTTGGTTGTAGTGTAAATAGAAAAATATGGCATTAAATCCAAACCGGCTACAGAGGATATGTTGACAATGACACCGCCACGTCCACCATTATTTTTGGCCATATATGGCAGGGCTGCCAGAGTGCTGCGAATAACTCCCAACTGTAATAAAAATATAGCAAATAAAAGTGTGTTTGAGCTTAACAACAGTTTTTGAATGAAAAGTTAAAAAAAAAGTTAATACCAACCAAATTGACTTCGATTGTAATATCAATGTTATGCTCCATCAATACACCGCAACCGTTAATCAGCACATCAAAGTGTTTTATTCTCTCTACAACTTCTTTAAAAGCCGCTGCTATGCTCTCTTTATTTGTTATGTCGAACTGTATGAAAATAATAGTGGCAGCTCTGTACGCCTTTTGCAAATCAGCCAGTATTTCCTTATTTTCCTTTACGTCTAATATGGCTAAAGTCTAAAATAAAAAAAAAATTCTTTAAATCTTTTATATAATTAAGAGAATGAGAGAAATTGCTGTCTTCGATCATGCCGAAGTCATGATAGTCATTCGATCTCGCTGGTTACGAAAATTATGCACCTGCACCCAATAGCACAGATACTAGTTTGACCACGAGGTGTGACATTTTAGTAATGAGATTGATTCCATAAAAACCGTATATTTAAAAATTATTCTACAACTCTGTCATCGCCTTCAAAGTAGTCCCCTTGGGCAGCTATAAAACGATTCCAGCGCGTTTTCCATGCTTCGTAACATCTCTGGAACGCTTCGACTGAAATGTCGGCGAGTACTCCCGTCACGGCCGCCTGAATGTCCTCAATCGACTCAAAAAAGGGTCTTTTGATCACCGATTTGGTTCTAGGAAACAAAAAAAGTAACAGGGTTGACATATCGGGCGAATAAGGCGGTTGTTGTAATACGGCGGTCCCCTTATATGCCAATTACTGGGACACGCTGAGAGGGGTGTGACACGGCGCGTTGTCGTAATGAAGGATCCAGTTACGAGCGATGTCTGGGCGCACCCTGTAAACTCGTTTTCGCAATCTTTCGATTTCTTGGAAATAGTAGACTTGATTTACGGTTGGCCCCGGTGGAAGAAATTCTTTTTGATCGATTCCACGGCTATCGAAAAAAGCAATAATTATCGTTTTCACCTTCGACTTGCTCATGTGAGCTTTTTTCGGGCGGGGGCGTGCGGAGACAATTATTGTGAGCTTTGGCGTTTGGTTTCCTGGTCGTTTTTAGCGTACGTTCATTTAAGCGTACGTTGTTACGCCTAATTTGGCGTAAAATTTTATCGCGACGCGTTGCACTTGATTTCGTTTTTCCATTTTCATGACGAGCTCCATGAACACATGTTTACTCAACACGACCCAGCAGGCGAACTAAACAAGCTAACGCGAGAGCAAATAAATATATATGGAGAGGAGAAGAATGTCGAGTCGCAGGGTTACCACAATCGCGCCAATCTAATCAGCCTCATTCTTTTATTGTAACACCTCGTAGTTCAATGAGACGGCAAGTTCCGATTCACTCAGCTCAGCTCATTTTGTTGGTCCTATCTCCCCTCCTTCTAATACTTCGGATCTACTCGTAAGTATGGAAGTTATTCGGCTTAATGTGAGGATCACGAAGCCGGCAGTGAAATTTAAAGATATGAAAAATTCATTTTAATTTTCTCGACCGTCTATTATTTAATATTAGATAAAAGGTGACAGTGCTGCGAAGAGGAAGAAGCAAACAAGGAAAATCAGTTGTTTAAAACGTAAATAAAGTAAATTTTCTTAAATTTCTATCAGCAATATGGCGTACAGAGGCTTCATCAAATCCTTCCTCAAACTCATCAATATAAAAAACCCGTCTATTTTCCATTATATTTATGTATAATGGCAAAATATTGTAAGTAAATCTCTGTCGAAAAAATGTTTTTTTAACCAGTGCTCTGACCGCCTGTTAAATTCAACAAGCTCATTCTAAAACAGGTAGTTGAAAAAACGAAAACGTGTTTAAAGAGAAGTTAAATTTTAACAGCCACTCGACGGCCCTAAGAGTAGTATATTCTCGAAACAGTGAACACAAAACAATTTCGTATTTCAATTCTATAATGCTCCTTCGGAAATAAAAATAAAACGTTGGCTAGCTGACTGGACGTGGTCGCAGGGACACCATTGATCCAAAACCTACGCAAGATTTGTTAAAAAAAGAACTCATCAAATAAACCTACAAACAAATCCAGAAAATTGATCGAATTGTATGATTAAAAAATGAGGTTGCGTGAGTTACCTGACATGGTAAAGATATTTCAAAATCGAAATGAGAATATGGATCCATCAGTTTACGCCGAAATCAAAACAATAGTCATCCATCTGAGTTGACAGCAGCTTTTGAACATCGCTCCGAAAGCCTAGCAATAGACTTGAAGACCTTTGGGATGTGCGTGGTGTTACATTCATTGACTACCTTCAAGGGGGGCATATGACTGACAAACAAAATATTTGTTTCTCCTAGCAACGTGTCACAAGCTAATAAAAATAGTGTCAAAATTACATGAATTGAATTTCGAATTGCTCCCACAATCTCCATATTTGTCAGATGGGTTTTCAGCGTCTATTGGCTGTTCACCGACCACAAAAAAAAACACTCACAGGTAAGAAGTTTCGATCGAATAAAGACTGAATGAAGAAGGGTATTTTTCCATGAATTCGAAGTTAAACCTAATCTTTAATTCTTTCTTGATGTGGCTGAAGAACTACGCATAAAATTGAAATAACTTTGCTGGTAATTTTCCATCAGATCGTCATTTAGCTTACCGTTAAGGTAAAGGATTTTCCATCCAGTTATGGCTAATGTACCTCAAGGTAGGGTTTTGGGACCAACACTCACGTAAGTCTTATTTACTTTAGACATTTCAACGAGCACGTGATTATTAATCTATGTGATTTAAGCATGCATCCTCTGGTAAAATTTAGTCATAAAGTCAGTATTGATAAAATATTAGAAATTAATCCGCCATCGAAAAGGGAATAGGTGTCAGTTATCATTTAAAAATAGCGATTCTTGGCCGAGCTTCTCTTTTAATTTATTGTATTGGAGGGATCTATCATATATTGAAAGCCGCCTCCGAACGGCGAATGGTTTTTTATGAAAAGCTTTTATTTCATGCCAGAAATACACTCGGAAGGGTTGGCGTTCCCTGTCGAGGGGTGTCTGGAATTCGAAAAAATTAACTTAATTTCTTTAATTTAAATTAATTTTCTATAACTTTTTGGATATTGATCGAACCAAGACTCGAACCAACTTTTGAATGGCAGACTTTAGCTAAACTGAGTAAGAAAATAAATTCCTTTGGTGTTATAAAAAAAATCCCAATATTTCAATCAGAGCCGATTAAACATACATACTCGTACTGAATCATTTTGAATAACGCCATTTTCAAAATTTTACAAAAACCGTTTTTTTTCATAAAATAATTAACGGAACACAACTTAAGTGGAAAAATGTTGTTTTAATTGCTTCCACGTTACGCTAGTCGCTTGAATAGCTTCTTCTCTTCTTCGTCTCTTCTGAACATTTGAGATTTTTTGAGTCGTCACTTTTTGGTGTATACCTTTAGCACATATTTTCCTTATTTAGGAAAAGTTAAAAAAAAAAATTTGGCCTGGGAATCAATGTACATGGTCACAGGTAAGCAGCAGAGTGAAATTTGTTTGAAAATAGTAAATAGAAAGCAAATTACCTTAATACCATTACTCAAGAGCTCTTTGAGACAATGCTGTCCAATTCCCCCGAAACCACCGGAATATATCACATTTCTACCATTCAAATCCATTTTTTAGCTCCTGAACGTTCAAACCACTAAAATACTTCAAATGCAATTTTTGAGCTGCTTCTATGGTTCGATTGCGATGACTGTCACTTTGAGTTTAAAATATTACTGCTAAAAATATTACTGTTTAAAATATTATCTCCAAAACATTATACCCTAAGCTTGCTTATCTGCTCTAAACATATTTTTAATGCAATATACATACATACATTCATATAAATTTGTATAAATATTTATTAATTTATTGAGTAATTTTCTTCCTTTTTTTTAATACAAATTAAAATCTTTAATCAATACTCACGGGATGTTGTGTGCAAAATATTTGTGTATGTGTATGTATGTAAATGTGTATGGCTATGTGTGCATATGTGAATTATATATACATATATAAGTGAGTTATAATAAACAAAAATTGACTAAACATCTAAGGTGGGTTAAATTCGAATGAAAGAAAAAAACATTAGTTTCTCTGCTGATATATATTTTTGCATTCAATTTAAGCTTCTACAACAAAATTACCGGCACGAGATCGGTAAAAGCAAAATTTTGCTTGATTGACTCTTACAGCATCAGGATCATAAATAGCTGTCTCGCCTGTCGTATGTTCTCTTAGCGGGTGTTCATTTTTAACATGCACTGAAACACCAAAAAAATACGGAATTAGATTCCGTTTTGCTTAATATGTGGAACATATGTTGATGGCTCTTTACCAAGTTCAATATGGGCAGAACTGTTCGGACTCATAATTCGATTTGCTCGATATCTGTTGCATAGATGGCTCTTTGCCTAGGCTGATATGTGAAAAACTTTTCTACCTTTTTCAAATATTTTGTCGTCTTATCCTATTCACAGATCATTGAAAAGCACAAAATAAAGTCTGTTTTATATGGGAGTTTGGCCTATTTCTGGACCTATTTCAGCTATTTTTGGTAGGAATTCACTAAAATTAGCACAGCTATCAAGTTTAGCTGTGCTTTTCTTTGTTGATTATTGCCTCAAAAAAATATTCTTGAGTCGAATTTCGAATTTCATCGTAATCTGTCTAATTGTTCAATGATTTCTGAGATATATACGAGTATATACTTTTTGATCCAAAAGTCGGTCGTGCCCCATTAACTCGAATGTTTTTCTACCCATCATATATTTCCATTTAATGCAATCGTTCCTAACCAATATGACTTTAATTGCGCTATATCGGAGATGGATGTGAACTTAGTTCGAACTTCAGTCGATTTCACCCATTTGCCATAGCGTCCATCCAAGGAATATGTGAGCCAAGTTTCATTGAAATATCTCAATCCTTACTTGAGTTATACACGGACAGATAGACGGACATGACTAAATCGATTCGTCTCCTCATTCCAAGATGTTTATATATACTCGTACATATATAAATGTGTACATATTTATCTCGGTTATTTTAACAAACTCAATATACCATGTAAATACATCACAGCCGAGTATAAAAATATTTTGCATTATCTAAAAGATCTCACAAGTTCAAACATATTATATAGCTTAGAATGACGACCATTGTGGTATGACAAACTAAAAAAAAAAATAAAATAAAAAATATTGCTCTCAATGTATTTACTGGATTGGGAATTTCGTTAGGTGACTAGGCAAATTAGTAATTAATAACAACACGCTGTCAACAATGAGAAACAGCCCGGTCGCAATCCGTGTCGGATCAGCATTGATTACTCTAGCATACGTAACGCAATACTCCGATACCGGAACCATAGGGCCCTGGTACTCGGATAATTATTATTATGAAAAAGCATCTCCCTGGTAGTCAGCATTTGGACCACTTCTTCCAGATGGATCACTGGTCAGTGAGAAGAAAAACAGCATAATGAATGCAGTGATTACAGAAGCAATTAAGTCATCTGCGTAAGCGGTTGTCTCCATTCATTCGGAAATTTTCAGCCTATTTCCCTGTCAGGCTTATGGAGTTAGGATTTTGTAAAACAAAAGCGCACATATCACAGATTTTTATTGAACTAGCTCAGAAGACCTTCAAAGCAATCAGACGATATCCTTCCAAGATTAAATGGCTCAAAGTGAACTGAAAAGAGGTAGCCCAGTGGTTAGCATTGCGTACTGCCATTGGGATGGGTCGAGTTCAGATCTTGGTGTTGTACTAACATCCAAAAAGTTATAGAAAATGAATTTAAATAATAATAACAAAGCTCTTCATAAAAAAAATCATCACCTGGAGGATGCTTAGTATAAACTGTAGGTCCCTCCATTTGTTGGAAAAACATCAAGTCGTAAAACCACAAATTGGAGGAGGAGCACGACCGACAAACGCTTCAGCAGTTACAAAGCACCAAGGATCTTAACATCTCCATCTTCATGTGTCCACCAAAATGGGCTATCATCTTCCAGTTGGGTGTACTAGTCATAGAAATGGCTTGCGGAACTTTATTGACTAGCTACAGTAGAGTACAGACAAAACACATCGCTGGACCAAATATCACCAATGTTTAATTCCAGCGTCATAAACATAAATTGAAAAGAGAATTGGGGCTCCCTTAGTCAGGAATGTTTGCGAAATCGAAAAAGCAGACAAGTTGATTAGATCGGAAGCATCACTCGACGAATTCGAAGGGGAACTGATACCTTGTCTTTCAGGATCTATCGGGAAACTTCTTATACAATTAAAACAAATAGCTCAGAACAGAGAAAAATCCATTCTACACAGCAAAATCACCAAGTAGACTTGGCCCAAATGTGGCGGATTTAGAACTAAAGAAATAAAAAATAGATACAGAAAGAAAGAAAGATAGACCTACAGTCACAATAACGCGATATTGACCATCTTTCGTGAAATTTACTTTAAAGCCGGCTCAAAGCGGCACCATTACCGGATCTGTTAAAACACCTCCATCAGCTGAGCTTCATGCAATTTTGAATATGTCACCGTCGAACCTAGTGGCGAAAAATAGGTAACGAGGTTGTACATCTTAAATCAGTTTGGAGTCAGGATTAAGTCGTCCTGTCCGCAAATAAGAATGTATTGAGTAGGTTGAAAAAGGAAAAAAAGGTTCACCTTCAGGGGCTGCCAGGACATCGAAAGCAATAAGAAGGAATTCAGGATTTGCCAGTCCCTCTCAAAAAAAAAGATAACAGGCAAAGAACACGCTTGTATCGTCCTACTAATATACTTCGGGCACAACCAATAGTATGGGTAAAAGCAATAAGAATATTTTTTTCAGCCGAGTTCCTCCTCTAATTTGTAGTATGCGTATTGATGTTTGACCTATAATTTATTCTAAGCCGATTCCGAACAGGCGATGGAGTTTTATGAGCAGCCTTTATTTCACTGGCTTGACATTAACCGCCGAGGCGCGAACCCAATTAGAAAAATTAACTTTTTATAATTTCTGATATTAACTCGACTCGAACCCTGGTATTTCGAATGGATGTACGCAGAGATAACCACTCGGCTATTGCGGTCGCCGGCAAGTTGCTAATAGAACAATTAATGAGGCACGTCTTGTTGGCGTCCCATATCTTCAAATTAGTTTCGGTTGATGACAACATGTGCCGTGAATGTGTGGAAAAGCAGAGCAAGTAATGTAAGTGTCCGGCAGTTGGCACACAGAGGTTATACTAATGGATCTTTAATGAGCAATGGACAAACTACCGAAACGCCTACTTTAATATGTTAAGAGAACAGCAACGCTCTTCAAACTGGTGACACAACGGGAAGTGTACAGGTACGGAGGTGTTTCTCGTAATACCGTCTAACCGTCGAACTTAGCCTAGTCAAGGAATTCAATCTAACCTAAATTAGTAATAAAAACCCTCTTGAGATCAAGACTATAAACTTAACACAATTTTTTGTGTTCATATTGTACGTAATAAATTATATAAACATTTAGCATATATACGATTACGAATATAACAGATATAACACTTCACCGCTTTTATCATAACGCAGTGAAAGTGATATCTATTTGGCAGACAGTTTTTTATAATCGAGTTTTTGCAGTAACAATGATATGTGATATGTCTTCAAGAGTTAATCAGCTTGTTGTTTGGAGAACACATATACAAGAGTGCTATTACATCATCGGAAGTTATGAATATTACATACATACAAGTATATGTAGCTATTCGGAAATATACCATTACGAGGGGAAGAGCAAAAGTTCCTATAATGGAAATAGAGAGCGGTCATCCATTAATTGGAGACTCGCCTTTAAGGTATTAGTATATTGGTGTAATAAAAAGAAATCCATTATTTTTGCATGAAATTGAAGGGTTTCATTTTTTCTTTTCGTACCCAGCCTTAGCTTTAGCTCTTGGGCAATCGAAACAGTGCTTACATGACGGTCGGACTCGAAAATGTCCATGTGTTGACAGGCCTTCCACTCGTCGTCGAGATAAGCACATCAAATTTTGTGGAAATTAAAAATATGAAATGGTGTACCAAAGAAAATACTCTTATATGTTATATATAGCTTTTTAGACAGGTCCTTTATAGTCCTGTTGTGACACACACCGAAGAGCGGCAAGGAGAATATGGTAATTTTTACTAGCACGTAGAAGATCAATATGTGGAAAGATCGAGCCTCAACTCTGTAGTGCTTCCAATTAAAAAACATATCAATTAAGTGGAAGCCAAATATGGGGAGAGACTAAAAAAGGCCTATAGTGCCAAGTAAGGTCTATTACACGGCCTCATGAATTATCATTACACAGTGGTAGTCAAGCCAATAATAATCTATGCGGCTTTGGTGTGGTGCACCACTAACCACTAGCAGAAAAATCGCACACAGTACACCCATTGGAGAGTGCCGTGGCTCCATACACTCTGTATAACAATAGCGCAAAGAACTATTCCAATGGCTGCATTCGAGCGGTTATTCGACCTTGCAGTCGAGCTGCGAGCTGAGCTAAATTTCAGGCAACCATGAGTAATGCAGATGGAGCGTAGGGCCAAAACTGATTACGCTGAACGTGATCAAGCAACTCTTTAACTCCTGGAGGATTACAGTATTATCCAAGCGGCGGTCTGCGCGGTGAACAAAGCTGAGAAAGCTAGCAACGAAGGAATCCACATAAAAATCCATCAATTTACTTTATGGTGTCAGCCCAACGATAATTAAAGACATACTCTCGCATCCTATTACGCCAGAAAATATCCTTAGAAATAGTCAGGCAGTAGATAAAGCGATTATAGGATAGCTTATATTACTAAGTTCTGTGCACAAGGGCATTCTGGGTAAAGAAATAGTTGATGAGATTATCAAAATTGCCAAGTGTCTGGTGAACCAGTAGAAGAAATACGAAATTCGTTGAAAACGCTACACCAAAAGAAAAGAGTGCTGGAAGATGTGTCAAATTGAGAAGGAATTTCAATTTCGAAAATATGTTAAGCAATGCCAGCGAAGATAAGAACACCCATTTCGTATTAACACGGTCTCGAAAGACCTACAGTACAGTCGTCGGTCGCATTACAGGTCGCATCCGATTGACCTTACACACGAACCGAATGGGTATTGTTGGCAGTAACACATGAATGAAGCTGCACAAAAAAGGGTTGAGGCTCTACACGACGACTACTCGAGATTGACTACTACTTCATCGGGCAATATCAAGAATCAGTAAATCTATGTAATTCGTAACCAGCAGCTCATATAAATTAACCTAACTAATATCTTATTTACTTACAACCTTCCATCTACCCTCGTAGGCGCATATGTATGGAAATTGTGAAAATAATATACTCGCATATACACATATAAATACATTTAAACGAATGTAGGTTTGTGAGGCGAATAAGTGGTATCAAGATGTCAGTATGCCGGTTTCTCTGTAAAATAATCCGACATGATGGGCCTTCTGCGTGCCAAAACATGGTGGTGTCAATTAATACCCCAAGCTGGTGGTTTAAGCTTAGTGGTGGCTGTCGGTACTTGTCTATTGGCTGCATTTCGAGGTCAGCTTTTGTAATAATAATATTGAAAGTACCACGCACCGTCCTCTCTACCAACTGCAGCAAATGTAACAAATTGTTGCAATAAAATTACCATCATTCAAAAGGTATTATGTGATATAAATAAAAAGAGACGCAACTGCTTGAAGCTAGTTATGCCACAGTTTTGAAAGGTGACACAGTGCAAACGATAAATTGAAAATTATTATTATTTTGGTTATACTCAATATCAGCGGAGCATCCTTGGCATCCAGCTTCATCAAAATGCAGTTGATGTCCGCTTTAGTTTGTGTGACCCTTGCCGCAGCGTCAACTGTACATTACGCACCTAACGAGATACTACTTACCGAATTGGAGCGTACGGCATTGAATAAACAGGATGCGGGACCGGCTAATACACAATATCACGAGCAGGATACGAATGGATTTTATTCCTATGGCTACAGTGCAGACCGATCCGCCAAGGCTGAGTACCTAACATTGGACGGTTCATCGCGTGGCTTCTATTCATATGTTGATGCAGATGGAAAATTGCAGACAGTGAAGTATGAAGCAGGTCGCAATCAGGGCTTCAAGGCGGCACTTACGAACTTACCAAAACCGCCTAAGAATCCCAATACATTTGCACCACTACCCGTTAGAGATACGCCGGAAGTACAGGAAGCAAAAAAGGCACACTTCGAAGCTTATCGCGAGGCGGAACTCAGAGCGGCGCTGGCAACACAAAGAGACGGTGCACAACTCGGTTTGACGGAGCAAAATCAAAATACCGAACTGTCACAACAGGAAGTTGCGAATATTTTGGAGAGCACGAGAAGTAAAATTTTAGCCATATTGTCCGAAAACGCCAATGCAGATAATTTAAATGGTGGCGCGAACGAAGAACTTGGTTTGGATGCGGGCCAGGAACAAGAAGAAGTAGAATTAGAAAACACTGAAGATAATGATGATAATAATGGACTGTTGTCGATTGATAGTTTGCAAGGCAATCAAGATGACAGCGAGGGTAATGAAGATGACGGCAGTGCAAGTAATGTGGATAATTTAGCGATTGATAATGGCGATGAGCGTAACGAAGCGCGCGAATTGTCGTCCAATGCGGCTCGACAAATGACAACATACAAACTCTCCGATTTGCTAAGTCCAAAAACCGATCAATTCAATTCTCGTGCATTATACACCTTTGAAAGCGATGGTCAGAGACTTACCGCACTGCGAGACAAGTCTGATCGCTTACTGACGCAACCGAAGCTCACGTCGATCGAATCTGTGCGTGTACCGGTGCATTCTTATTACACTGTGCTGGCGCCAACAACCAAATACACAGTTATTACACCCACAACCCATCAGTTGGTGCCGCGTGATGAGGCACTGAAGCGCGGTCATAGCTTGCCGATATCACTGAGCAGTTCGTTTTTGTCACATCGTCTGAAATCGAAGTAGAAACACGATCTATGCGCAGAAGTAGACAATCATCTCTTAAACAATATTCGACAATTCGCAAAATGATTTTTATGGTAATAATACATACGTACATACGTTCCGTTTCATTCGAACGCTGCACTACATTTAACATATGCTCATCATATCTTATACGTACATACATACATATATATCCTATTTTTAGATGCAATTTACAAAAGGTTTCAAATAGATTTCAGTACTAGAAACAGGGGATATCAGTAACTTATTAAATGAACCCTTAATAAATGGCAAAGATTTGAACTGTCTTAGCATCCATTGCAGCTTAGTGAGTAGCAGTGTTTAATTAGTGTTAGAGAGTTATTAGTTCCACACCAAATCGAAACAACATAAAGAAAATATAAACATATATATATATATATTTTTTTTTACTTTGTTGTCCCTCTTTAGGTCTTTAGGGAGAATAGAAGGAGAAGATCCGGCGAAAATCGTCTTAGCTGTTATAAAGCGCCAGTTTTGAAATTTGAATAAATTATCTACCAGTAATTTGAGTGAGAAGTTGTACTTAGGAAGTAAATATATATTTTTCAAATAGGATCAACACAACCTAAATATATGCAATTAATTCATGTAATTCATGTTAGGTAAAGATCTTTATGCTCTTTAAGTGTTTTTACAAATTAAGAAGATGATCTACAATTATAATATTCCGCAAGAGAAATAAAAGAATTTCAATATAAACATAAATCTTAATTCATTACGTGAGCAAAAATAGGCTTGAGAGAGCTCCTTGTACGGAATACCGCGATTTTCAGCCGCATAGCCTATCCCATCAACTTTTAAGAGCTCGTATATAAGTTTAATTTTCTTCTTCTTTGCTGTGGTAGACACCGGTTATACGATTTGCGCCATTCATTTACTCTCTCCGACGCTTGGCGCCAGTTGAAAACGCCAAATACAGCAAGATCCTTCTCTACCCGGTTTTTCCAACACAGCGGGGAACTTGCTCTTCCTTTGCTTTCACCAGCGGATACGCAATCGAAAACATTCAAAGCCGGAGTATTCCTATCCGAACGGACCACATGACCTAATCCGTTTTTGTTTCGCTGAACTATGTCAATGTCGCCGTACATTTCGTAAAGCTCATCAATCTATGAGCTCGTATTATTTTTTCCAACAATGAATTAAAGAAGCAACATGATAAGGAAACTCCTTGTCTCAAACTACGCTTCGTATCGAACGACTCGTAGTGGTCCCTCTCGATCCTGGCGAAGCTTTTGGTGTTGCTTAACGTCAGTTTGCATAATCAGATAAGTTTTTCGGGGATGCCAAATTTAGACATAGCGGAAGCTCCTTTTTGTGCTGTCAAAGGCTGCTTTAAAATTGGCGAAGGGGTGGCATGTCGATAATTTGTTAATGGGTCTTTTCCAATATTAGCACATGGTGAATATCTGTTCAATGGTTAATTTACCAGGCAGGCCATACCTATAAGATCTAATCGGTTTTTTTTTGACGGTGGGCTTAATTTTTTTACACAATACGTATCATATGTTGCAAAAAAGCTGATGCATGCCTCTGATCAGCTCTTCACCATCGTATTTGAATAGCATGCTTAGTAATCTATCGGTCCCCACCGTTTTGTTCTCTCTTACGCGGGCGATTGCTATCCGGTCTTCTTCATAATCGGGTAATGGAACAATTCTTCCATCGTCATCATTTAGAGTTTCGGGTTCACCTTCTCCGGGTGTATCATTTTCACTGCTATTCAGCAGGCTGGAGAAGTATTCCCTTCATAGATTCAGTATATTCTGGGCATCCGTCACAAGCTCACCCTTTTGGATCCTACAAGAGTTGGCTCCGGTCTTAAAACCTTCCGTAAGTCGCCGTATCTTTTCGTAGAATTTTCGAGCTTTAATCTTGGCGGCGAGCTTATCAAGCTCTTCATACATACGCATTTCGGCCTCTTTATTTTTTTTCGGTTGCAAATGTGTCTTACTTCCCTCTCCAGCTNTCTCTCCGACGTTTGGCGCCAGTTGGAAACCCCAAATACAGCCAGATCCTTCTCTACCTGGTCTTTCCAACACAGCGGGGAGCTTGCTCTTCCTTTGCTTTCACCAGCGGATACGCAATCGAAAACATTCAAAGCCGTTTTTGTTTCGCTGAACTATGTCAACGTCGTGGTACAGCTCGTATAGCTCATCAATCTATGAGCTCGTATTATTTTTCCCAACAATAAATTAAAGATGTCACACGATAAAGAATCTCCTTGTCTCAAACTACGCTTCGTATCGAACGACTCGTAGTGGTCCCACCCGATCCTGGCGAACCTTTGGTGTTGCTTAACGTCAGTTTGCATAATCAGATAAGTTTTTCGGGGATGCCAAACTCAGGCATAGCGGAAGATCCTTTTTGTGCTGTCGAAGGCTGCTTTAAAATCGACGAAGATGCCACCTCTTCGATAATTTGTTCATGAGTCTTTTCCAATATTAGCACATGGTGAATATCTGTTCAATGGTTGATTTACCAGACTTAAAGCCATACTGATAGATCCAATTGGTTTTTTGACGGTGGGCTTAATTTTTTTACACAATACGCTCGATAGGACTTTATATGCGATATTAGGGGGCCGTATCTCACGGTAATTGGCGAAGACTGTGAAATCGCCCTTTTTGTGGATTGGGCAGAGCATCCTTAGGTTCCAAACATCGGCCATGATTTCATTCAATCATATGTTGCAGAAAAGCTGATGCATGCCTCTGATCAGCTCTTCACCGTCGTATTTGAATAGCATGCTTAGTAATCCATCGGTGCCCGCCGTCTTGTTGTTTCTTACGCGGGCGATTGCTATTCAGACTTCTTCATAATCGGGTATTGGAACAATTCTTCCATCGTCATCAATTGGAGTTTCGGGTTCACCTTCTCCGGGTGTATCATTTTCACTGCTATTCGGCATGCTGGAGAAGTATTCCCTTCTTCTGTAAGTCGCCTATTTTTTTTTATTCTTGGCGGCGAGCTTATCAAGCTCTTCATACATACGCATTTCGGCCTCTTTATTTTTTTTCGGTTGCAAATGTGTCTTACTTCCCTCTCCAGCTCTCGGTATCTATGTGTCTGTACGTAGCGAATTTGCAATGCCATCCTACAGTTCCCTTATGCCGGGTTGCTGATGAGTGTTCTCAGAGAGCAGGTGTGCAACTCGAGTAAAAAACCGCTCGGCAGTCTGTTGTGATTGCAGCTATTCAACATCGAACCTTCCTTGTGCTTGTTAACGGTCGTTCTTCGATACACAGAGGCGGGTGCGTATCTTCGCTGCAACAAGATATTTATTCGAGGATGATATTAGGACCTCGGAAAGTATGCACATCTAAAACACTGGATACATGTCTTCAGCTTATCACAGCATGATCGATCTGGTTTAAAGTTTTTCTATCGAGAGATAGCCATGAAGTTTGGTGAATATTCTTGTGTTGGAATCTAGTGCTACAGACAATCATATTTCGAGCCCCATGCGAAGTCGATCAGCCTCAGCCCATTTGGGGATGTTTCGTCCGGGAGGCTGAAATTTCCGACTGTTGTCACAAAAATACCTTCTTCGCCCACCCTAGCATTGAAGTCGCCAAGAACAAATTTGCCGTCGTGCCGACCGCCATATCTGTTGCCACGAAATAGACCTCAGTTTCAGTTATTGTCTCTTAATTCAAATCCGATTTCCTACAGGTGAGCATTTTGAGGGGAGACTGAGTTTTCAGTTAGTAGTTGCTGGAAGCCAAACATGGCGAATACAGTGGATCTCCGAGCTATTCAATGTTCAATTCATATAGTTTTGGTATTGTCTTTCTAGACTTTTGATACAGTGCATTGCATACGAGGGCATACCAGATGGTTGAATGAAAACGTGACAATGTAACACGGCATTGATGGAATAGAAGAATTTCAAGTATCAACACTTTATAAACGGGACCTCCTTTAGTATAAAAACTGGCTTATTATAAACCCGACACAGTTTAATTGGGATTCATAATAGGAAGATGAGCTACTGCTCTAATGACTACTGTTGCAACTGCAGGTGCATATACTAAGGGGAGACGGAAGAGAATTACCTCTAACTGTTCAGCCCTCATTGCGGCTCGATAATTTTTGATTCTACTGTCTTGTAAACTTGCTTCAGTTAACGTAAACAACCTCGTGGGCCATATAAAGCGTACCTAATGAAAGGTTCGAGGGGTTTCACAGTGGCACGACGGCGTAACGGGCGAAATATGTTTGAACAAGGTTTTGTTATCGAGCAACCTCAACATCTCACTAACTCTGTATACATTCTAAAAAAAATCCCAACCGATTACTGTGCATTGGATGACGTTAACCAGTTGCTGACCCCACATATAACGATCATTTTGATTCCGGAGTGAAATGACGAATCCATGATTCATCCATTATCACTTATGATGCAAAAAATCATCCACAAGTTCTTGTTTTTGAGTTGAACAGAGTTTTCTCATGGATATGTTTGGTTTTATGGTATTATCATCGCCTCATTTCGCGTGACTGGATTGGTTGGAAACTACTTCTGAAAGAGTTAGAATTGCTCTCCGTTTTAATAAGATATACAAATACGCGAGGAAAATTAAATACAACAGAGTCACCCGCGCAGTCACGACCCTACTATACTCCATACAAAAAAGAAGCCTAAATTTTGTTTAGAAGTAAGCGAGGCTTGAAGTGAAGTGAATTTTCTGAAACTCGGAATCCTCAATGTGCTAACAATTAAAATAACTATACGTAAGAATTTGGACGATCAAAAATTCGATTAATGACTAATGATCATTATATAGATCATCGCATAGATTTTGGACGGTTGTTCTATAATGGTCAGATGAATAGTATCAAATTAGGCCGTATAAAAAGATGAAGAGCCCGGAGGGCGCGCTGAAAATATGCAGCTGTATATCCGCGGCCGCGGTGGTCGAGTGTTTAGCATTGCCATACGGAAGGCTCGGTTTCAAATCCTGGTGTCGTCATGACATTCAAAAAAAGTTATGGAAATTTAATTAAAAAAAAATTTTAAATAGGCTAACCTTTCTAATTGCGATCGCCGCTCGGCAGGGAATGTCAACCTCTCCGAGTGTATTTCAGCCGTACGGAAGCGGCTAAAGCATAAACTGTAGGTCCCTCCATTTGTTGGAAAAACATTAAGACGAAAAACTACAAATTGGAAAACGAGTTTGGCCGAAAATCGCTTTAGAAGTTACAAAGCACCAATTATATAATATATATATATATATATATATATATATCCAAAATAACTTCTCAAACATTTTAAGTCTTGAAGTCGAAGGTTTATATGAACAAGCCAAACACCCAAGACGACTTAAGGCCGCCATATCGGACGAAACGTTGACAAATACGATTGAAAATGCCGAAAAACGGGCACTTTGTGCGACTAGAGCTCGGGGCGATCACTTGCGCGATATTATCTTAAAAAAGTGGTGCAGTTGAATATCAAAAAATTAGTTAGCCGAGTGGTTAGCATTACGTACTGCCATTCGGAAGGCCGGGGTTCAAAACTTGTTACAAACAACATCCAAAAATTGTAGAATATTAATTTAAATTAAAAATTAAGTTAAATTTGCCAGTTACGGGCTCCCCTCGACAGGGAATGGCGCTTTGTAACCGCTGAAGCGCTTCTCCGCCGAGATCCTCCTCCAGTTTGTGGTTTTGCGTCTTGATGTTTTTCCAATAAATGGAGGAACATACAGTTCGAACTAAGCCGCCTCCGAATGGCTGATGGTTTCTTATAAGGCACTTTATTTTATGTCAGAAATACATTCGGACGGGTAGACATTCCCAGCGGAAGGGCGGATCAAGATTCGAAAACTGATCTTTCTAATCGCAGTACGCATTGAACACTCGGCCGACACGACCGCGTAAATAAATGAGTCCATCTAATATGGCCAACCATGCCTTGTTTTGTACCCCTCGGCTGGTAACAAGCATTGCAAGATGTTTGTGTCAATGTGTGTGCATGCTTTGCGGAATATTTATTTAACCTTCCTTCAATCCAAATCATACATACATACATACGTATATGTCACCGTGCTTTCGACAAGAAAAAAATTTTAAAATTCGGGATAAAAAATTAATATTTTACACACATATATACATATATACATAAGGCAGTTAACTTAAATCATACCAATTTATCTACAAATTTTACATTGTGCCTTTGTGCAAATATTTACAAACACACATACATACAAACATACATACATACCTACATACATACATACCTACATATGTACATATATTGAGTCAATGTGTGCTGCGTACTGCTGCGTCGTCGCTCACGTGTTTCACATGTTTTTGTTTTTGTATTTTTTTTTATTTTTTTTTGCTTATAGCGGGTCATGCGTTTATAAGGCAAACAGAGGCGCTGCCACATGTGAAGCATTGATGAAAACGTGCTGTGCGTCTTGGCTCGTCTTAACTACGCCAAACAAATGAAAGTAAACTGGACGACCTTCTTGGGGGCGAACGCGATTTATGAAACATTGAAACATGCGATTGACAGTGGGATGACGGAGAGTCGCACAGATGCGTACTTACAATAATGTTTCATTTAGGTAACATACAAACACAGGCATATATATGTGTGTGGATATGTGGCAAGATCATGAGACAGTTAAACGAAAAAAGAGGAAATGTTTTGGTATGCATGCTTGCTTGTATATATGTATGTATGTTCCTAGTTGAAGAAAAAATAAAAAACAAATAAAAAGTACTCATAATAAAAGAAGCTTCAACAACACAAATCTTTTGTATAAAAGCCAGAATATTTCTTCGAACCAACAACAGAGTCCTTTAGAGCGAGTACTAGTGCATTGCATTACTGAGCATTACTAGCAGCGCTCTATAAATTGTTTAACGAAAAAGTATTTTACCAGAAAAAAAATGTTGCTTTTCCTCTACTTAACTGCTATTTTTGCACTGGTCGCTGCCGATGGGTATTACTATGAAACGCCCAACACCCGTACACCTTTAGTTTGGAGCATTTTACCACCGGCTCAGAGGTATCAATATCATACACAAGATAGCTACGGCCAGTACTCGTATGGTTATGGTGAACCGCTTTCGAAGAAACAAGAAGTACGCACACTGGATGGCATTACCCGCGGTTCCTATACTTATGTGGATCCGAATGGAAAGTTGCAGACCGTCGCTTACACTGCCGATTCCAATGGATTTCGTGTAGCGGCTACCAATTTGCCGTCAAAGCAGTTTGCAACGTCATACGCCTCAGCTCCATTAGAGACACCCTCGGCTGTAGTGGAAACACCAGAGGTAGCGGCGGCACGTTTACAACACATGGCTGCACATGCACAAGCTAGATTGCGTTCGAGAAAAATTTCAACGCCCGCTACGCAATTCGCTTTACTGAAACCCCAATTGGAAAAGCCATCGGACAAGAATGAAAAGGATTTCGCTTTAGCGGATATTCTTCCTCAGCCGGTTGAGGATACACCAGAGGTGGCTGCAGCTAAGGCAGAGTTTTTCAAGAGTTACGAGCAGGTAAAGCAACGTAATGAAAGCTTGCGGCAGAAGAAGAATCTTAACGAAAATTATGAATTGGCGCGATCTCAACCTACAACCGTTACCGTGCCCCTGGCTGACTATAAATCTACAAATATTCCAAGTAACCTCCTGCGTTATGCAGTTTATAAATTTTCCAGTTAATTAACAGTTGACGGGATGCTACTGTGTTCACTTTCATTGGTTAATAAAAAACAAATTTAATAAATCTTTCCCAGCGTTATTCTAATCTGCTAAAAATGTCCTGTATTGTGTTTGCCTCCTTCTAAATGAGAAGACCAGAAAAAATCGTGTTTATATTTAGTTTAGGTTCAAGTCGCTGCTGAGCTCACTTATGCCACCAAACGGGACCAAGGCGATGCCACTGGAGATCCTATTAACCCCCACTCGATAATCATGCCAATGTGAGGAGTTGGAAAAAAAAAACAGAGCAATGGACGTATCTTCTTCCTAATGGAGAGTCATTCGCAAAGGATGTGACTTAATTTCATTCCTTGTAGAAGTAGTTATATATATATCTTTATATAAGTGTGCTAGTAGATCTTCTTATAGCTCGGACGGTAATCCAGGCAGGTCCCCGCTGCTTTGTTGTTTTTTAAACGGGCGATTGCTTTCGAACTTCTTCATAGTCGGGTAACGAAACGGTCTCACTATCACCTGTCATTTAGCACGATGCAGAGAAGTGTTCCCTCCATAAACTGAATATACTCTAAGCATCCGTAACTAAATCTGTAAGTCGCCGTATCTTTTCGTAGAATTTTAGAGCATTATCCTTGTCCCACAAGCTCTTCATACTCACGTATTCCGACCTCTATGTCTTTGTCTTGCTTCCCTCTTCAACTCTCGATATCTATCCCATTCCGCACGTGTTGGGGCCGATCGCAAGGTTGCGGGGTGGTTTTTCTCTCCACCGTGACACGGCAGTCCTCATCGTATCAACTTTTTTTCCGACCTATCCGAAATCTAATAGTTTCGCTACCAGCTGTACGTATGGAGTATGCAATTCCTTCTTTCAGTTCCCTTATATCAAGTTGCTCTCAGAGAGATCGCGGCTTTTCGTCGTTGAACCTTCCTTGTGTGCGATATTTCGAGGCTGAATTTTCCAATAGATGTATTAAAGATATCTTCTTTGCCCACCTTGGAGGGGGGGCAGTGCTCATAAAAGGCATCTTTCGCGAATTTCGCTTTGATCCGGATTGTGGCCAGACTGGGTGAATGCCAGTACTCGAGACCATGACTCCAACATCAAATTTATATGGCCGCTGTAGTAAATGTCACAAGAACCTACTCGCTTCCGTCCTCGTGCCGTCCATCGCACCTTAAGCCCCTTTCATTGTGCTCATGCAGAACAACTTTGGTTCGGTTACAATCAAATCTGATGTTACAGATACCCATATCTCGGGGCCTAAGATCTATTAGCCTCGACCCTTTGTCGGATGTTTCATCAGGGAGGCTAAATTTTCCAACTCTTTGTCCTATTCAGTCACATTGTCTTTTCTTCCGGCAAAGAGCAAGTTGTTGTCAACTTTAGTTTTACCAAAGTAAGTGCTAAGGGGCCCAAGCAGTGATTGTCATCAAGGTTGTGGTCTCTCAAGCGAGGCGTTGTTTTCTTTTTCATTGGAGCTGTTTACTAATCGGTGGGTTCCAAAATATATATGTATGTAAATGGCACGACGTTTGTTTCTAGACGAATGCTCGCTCGCAGCCCTACCTCTGCTGAACAGAATCACAAAAATAGTCTAGTGAACACTTAAACCGAATGTGTTGGAGTAGCTCCAGCAAAGCTCCCTTGCTTTTAGACATGATCCAAGCCGCCACCTCGCTCATTTTTCCAGGCTGCGCGACGAGTAGAGTCGGAATTAGGTATGGCCGTGCAACTAAATACCCGGAAGCAGGAATACATCTCAACCTAGCTTAGTTTTGGGTACCTGCTTCGCAAATCTTTCCTTGTCCTATAAGTCAATTGTTATTAATGGGCACTACGCTCCAGTTTCTAATCGAAATAAGCAAGTGCTAGTTTAATTTATAGAAATTTGTAAACATTTTTTCTCATAAAATCAGTTTTTATTCAAAGAATCAATTCAATGTCTCTCAAGTGAACAATTACATTTGCAAAAACTTTTCAGTAGTAATAGTACCGCCATGGATAACCGTAATTGTAGATATGTGGTGTAATAGCCGTCGATAATGCAGTTGGAATAATTGTCGGGGTGAGCACACGTCCTTGTTGCACGATGGTGTGTAACGGTTTGGTGTCTTGTTCGTATTGCTTTAGATGCGTTGTCTTTGCAGCGGCCACGGCAATTGTATCATCCACGGGCTGAGGCAATTGTATAGACCCAGTAACTGAGCCGGTTGTATCGGGTTCGCCGCTAGCGATACTCCCCGCTGCCAGGCGCAGTAGAGCCTCCCGATGAGTTGCAAGGTGAATGTCGCCGGTTGCTGTAGCATCGGGGGTAAAGGAAACTGACCCAATTGTCGTTCCTTGTTCACGAAAGGGCTGATGTGGCTGTGGTTGTTCGGATATTGGAGCGCTGGGTAAATTGGTAGCCGCCACACGAAACCCATTATCATCGGCCCTGTAGTCTACAGTTTGTAATTTTCCTAAAGCATCACGATAGCTATACGAACCCCTTGTTACGCCATCTAGCGAGCGTACCTCATGCTTAACTGAGTGAGGCTCTGCATAGCCATATGCGTATTGACCCAGATGATCCTGTGTGTGATATTGCTGTTGAGTAGGTGTGGTCAGGGATGAACTATGCGCACTATAAGCGTACGGTAGTAGTGAAGGTGCGGCAACGTAAGCTACAACTCTTACACAGGAATCGGCAACTAGCGCCCCAAATACCAATGTAATGATAACGAACTTCATACTAGATCTCGGTGCTCACGCTAATGCTTACTACCGCTCACGATTCTGTTCTGATGCTGACTTCCAAGGTTGCACATCCTTTTATACTCGCTTTACCTGTGCAAGTAAGCAGCAAGGCACATGGTGAGCCCGAGTACACGTATGTGTAGATGTGTGTTCTAGTAACTTGTTTTCGGTTCCTTGTAAAGAATGCCTCTGCTGGTACTAAAAGTCATTTGCTTTTTGTCTTTTTTCCATTTCAAACAAAATCCAACAAACAAAACTTTAGCAACAAACGTCATTCTAGGCTCTTCTGCTGTAAGTGGAAGAAATGTTGGACGTAGTAAGTGTTTTACACTCAAAATATTTCAGTAAGGTAGGATGATACCTCTTAATAATCACAAGATCACCTTTGGCCTTGATCATGTGTTTCATATTTGTATGTATATATGTATGTACGAATACATGGTTATTAGTACTATTTAAGCTTGAAAAATTGTATTATCCGAGATAATGTCATTCGAACAGATGGATCTCAATTCGTGGGGATCAGCGAGACTTAAAGGATTTAAGAACTCCATTGCATAGTTTAACTCCTTCCTAATTGATGGACAGACTTGTGTGCAGTAATGGTTAGTTAGTTTAACAGATTGAACCTTGGTCAAGAGCACTTAGGTTTAATGGTCAGGTTTAGGTCAGAGGTAAAGTTCTAGTGATTGGCAGCAAGCTGCCCATTCTTCTACCATGAGTCCCCACTAGACAGTGCCGGTTGTTATTCTTTTGAAGGTCCACTTTAAAAGGAGTACATACTTAGTTCTGTTTATCTCAATGGAATTGGCTTGTTACATTGCACTTGATTTCTCTCTGCCATCTGCTCTACGCCTTTCTGATGAAGGCTCGTCTGCCGATACTTTGCCGAGCAGTATGCCCACGTCATGTGCTGAGTTATCAAGATTAGAACTGTTCCCTCTCTGATCAGTTCGTCAGCTACGCAGTTCCCTGTGATGTCGCACGGAAATTTTGCATACATTTCAAAGTTTGTTTAAGATCTCTCTGCCTTTAAGGTGGCATAACTAAAATAAAGAGACTTAATGGCAGACTGGCTGTCAGAATATAATAGTAAAAGGTTGGGTTAAGGTATTAGAAACCAGCCTTCTGTTCTAGCGGTTAGGTGGGCTTGGAATACGCTGCAGTGGTCGGGAAGTTTTTTGGTATACATGAGTTGTAGTGGGCTTTTAGTCCTATTACTGGGTATACATATACCCACTCCTACTCTTGTATTCTCGTCGTACATGGAGCGGGGCGTTAAGTGATAGCTCAAAGAAACAAAGCTTTAGTGTCGCTACTCTAAACTTATATAGTTTAAGGGTTCACCAGGCCGTAAGGTAAGCGGCTCCCTATATAAAAGTATTCAAATCTATACTAAATAGTGAGCTGATATAATGCAGCTCAGATGCAGAAGAAAACAGTGCCCATGATTTAGGGTATGCATCTGGAATGATCGGTTCTGTGCTACCGCTGTCCAGCCGATTGATGTCCTAGTAAGGCTAAAGTCTGACGCCACCACAGTCAAAGAATTGCGGTGCTTAACTTTAGCCACGCGTTTCAAAGAGTTCAGCATATGGCTTCTTCTTCGCTCTTTAACAAAATTTCCAGACGTTGCTACTGCTAGTCCATCCTGACGACTCCATCTATCCTGCTCATCTTTTCATGGTCTTCGGTATTCGCCGTTGCTTATTCTCATAGTACCAAAAATCATTCACAAAACCTTTCTCTTGAAAACACCTAATTCCGAATATTCAGATGTTGTTATAGGCCAGTCCTTTATACCATATAGCAGAATAAACTACTTGTAGCGTTTTGCATTTACTGGTCGAGTGAGGACGTTGTTTTTTTTGTTGGTCCTAAGAAGCCCTTGTTGGTAACAGCGATGTGGGAGTCAAGAAGCCAATGCGAAGACTGTTTTGTTGACAGCAGATATTTCTTAACAGCGACAACTCCTTTTCGTACAGTCGAAGGCAGCTATAAAACCACAGAAGAGACAGTGTGTGTCCCTTACTTGCCTTTCATGGACTTTGACGAATTTCAGACCGTGGGTTTTAATCTTTCACTTAAAATGCGAGGTAAGACCTTATATGCGATATTGAAAATGCTAGTTCTACTATAACTGGAGCAGGCTGTGGTGCCCCTTCTTATGGATTACCAGTACACACTTAGTTTCCACACGTTATATGTGCTTTTGTTCGACTATATATACGTGAAGAAGTTAGCGTATGCACCTTGTTAGACCTTCGCCGTCATGTTTTAATAGTTCAGTCAGTAAGCCAACGGCTCCATGGAATTTATTTGTAGCAATGACTGTACTTCGTCTAAAAGAGTCAAATCAACGGATAAATAAGATTGACAACATGAAAGTATACACGGATCGATAGAAGTTGGAGGAGAGAGTTGAAGAATAGGTCTCGTTTACACGAAATTTCGGCTGTCGTTGATCTCTACAAGACATTGCCAAACGAACATACTGTAACTCACTTGGATCCTTAGTCATGGGCACATTAAGGGAAACTATAAGGCGGATGAACTTGCAGATTCTTCATAGATAAATAACGCATTGACATGCCTTTTATCGCTTGTAAACTACTTCTCAAGAGATATCCTTACGATACTGTAAATCGGCATATCGAGGCTCAACTGGTAGAAATGTGATAAGAAGAGATAACGAGAAACGTACTTAATAAGAGGGGAAATGTCAAAAGTAATAGGAGTTCTGACAAGCCACTGTCTGAAAGGATAACATGCGGAGGGACTAAGGGTTTCTTAGACAAGATACTGCAAGGAGGATGAGAAAGAGGTAACGATCACCCATCTTTCATGCGAATGTCCCTTATATCAAAGTCAAGGATCTAATGGGGTTCATTAAATAATCAAAATGGCTGGGTAATGAAGGTTGATAGTTTTTGTGACATTACAATGGGTCTAAGTCCGGCCTAAGGGAATCCGATACGATAGATCGGTAGCCATTACGACCTAGCCGAACCTTGTGTCTTGGCATTATATATATGTGAATACTACATCATTCAAATGAATCTTTGTAAACTTCGATCCGTTTGAGGTAATTTTTGAACACTTTTTGGTAAATATCGGGTCGGTATCTCAGCCATAACATGACGAATGATGGTTTTAAATTGTTCAATAGTTAAGGGATTGTTCGCATAAACACGGTCTTTCGCGTAGCCTCATAAAAATAGGTCTAATGGTTTCAAATCGCATTATCTTGGTAACCAATTGACATCGTCGTGAAACGATGAGACCTACGGACCAAAGAACACACTAGACAATAAGTCCTTTTGGAGGTAATCACTTTAACTATTCAAAGATTCTCGAAACCTCAAATGCAAAAATTTTGCTTATTTACGTATCCACCGATTAAGAAATGTGCCGCATCACTGTAGAAAATTTTATACGAAACTTTTGCCACAATTGCAATGCGTTGTGCGATTATTAAGCGATCCGTGTTCATAAACAACTGACTTTTAACTCAAACGAAATATGCTTCGCTTGACAGTTAAGTCTGACATATGTCCAAATACAGCCCTGTACCTTTGACACCACGAAATGAATAGCTTTAGGTCAAGTAAAAAGTTCAATCGATTTTTTTTATTGATTTTTCAAAATATGATAACTTTGTGTACATTTTTCCGATTTAAGTCAAATATGCGCCGTTTTGTTCGTAAACTTTTTGCCAAAAAGATCATTATACCCCTCTCGTAGAAGGCTGCGTCCCTTTTGGCAAAAAACTCGGAGAGCCAATTTTCACTTGGTGTCAGTTCCAACACACATCCGAGCACCTGGAGCTTCGGGCGCGTCACCAAAGATGTGTGTGGCCTGGCGTTGTCCTGATGGAACACAATTCGGCCTCTGTTGATCAAAGATGGCCTCTTCTGGATGAGTGCTACCTTCAAGCGACCCAATTTGTTGGCAGTAGGGGGCCGACTTGAGCGTTTAGCCATAGGGGAGCAGCTCATAGTAGATGATTCCTTGCCAATCGCACCAAACACACAGCAAAACTTTCCTGGTCGTTAATCTGGTCTTGGCCACCATCTGGGCCACTTCCCCAAGCCTTGACCATGACCGTTTGTGCTCGATGTTGTCATAAGTGACCCATTTTTCATCGCCAGTCACAATTCGCTTCAAGAACGGGTCGATTTTGTTGCGATTTGGCAGCGATCCGCAGATGGAAATTACCGGAACGGAACCTAGCAAACTTTTGTGCTACACGTTCGTTTACAGTATCGAGCCCATAAACTAAATTAATATTTTTCAGCCGCTTTGGATACTTTTTCGCCTTGATCGAAGAAAAATTGTAAAATATAGCGAATTTTCCCTTTGCTGGTGTCCATTTTTGACGAGCGCTCTCAACGCACTGAGTCAATCAATCGAAAAACTGTCACGTGCGACACGTGACACTAGTGGTATGGACAATAACGCTATCACTTAGATAAAACGAACGAACTTCTTACTTCACCTAATACTATTCCAACGGTTACAAGTTAAGCTTTTAATTAATATGAAAATTTTAATATAATGTAGTATGTACATACATATGTACGAGGGGCTTAACAAAAGTTCGGTAAGTTCTCAAGCCTATAGATCCCCAGCTGAAAAATTTCTTTAAAATCTCGACTTTTAAGCTTATCAAGCTCAAAATTACCGCATTAATTATCTCGTCGTTGCTATTAAAGATCTTTCCTTTTAAATATTTTTTTTTCTTGGAAATAACCAGATCCCAGATATCGCGATAAAATTACTCGTTATTTCAGCAGTGAGGGATGGCGCGTTGTCATGATGTCAAAAGTAGCGCCTCAAATCCACTTTCTTCCAATTAACAACTTTAAGTAAGCACTCTTCGGTGTACCATTTTTCAGTTACCGTCTAATCCATTTCCGATCTTAGATCGGGTGAAGGAAAATGACATCATTACTTTTGCTGCCGATTTTTGTTAATTAGATTTCACGGGTGGT